ATAATATATGGACATGAGAAAAAAATAGATTTCAAGTTTTAGAAATAGTATTTTTTGTAACGTATTTTTGACCATCAATTTTCAAGATTTTCATAGATCTGTTGATCTACACTATTTATAAAGTTTTAAACTTTATAAATAACGGTGAAAATATATTCTAAGGCTATCACAAAGATTTCTAGTATTGAAACCACATTTCTCAATACTATTTGAAGGTAGGCTCTAATTTGATTGTTTAGAGTGTATGCTCTATACAAACTCCACCCATATATATATATTTATATAAAATCAATTTTCAAACAAACGGATTCGGGCGCCTAGGCGGTTTGGGCGCCTAGGCGGTTTGGGCGCCTGGCCGCCTAGGCGGGCACTTAGGGATCAGGTGCCCTTACTACAAAACACCTATAGGTGAAAATGAACAGTGATTTTGCTTACCCTTATCATCGTCCAAAGTTTATCGCACGGTCATGATTATCCGGTACTGTTTCATTTTTCATTTTTTTTCTACAAAAAAGGCAAATCTACGAAAAATATCAAAAAAAATATTTTACATGAAAAAAATACTTTCGTAGATTCGCCGATTTTTGATGGACACACTCTTCAAATTTCAAGTTATTCCAATTTGTAGAAAACAAATGACAAGTGAAATACTATCGGACAATCATAATCGTGCGATAAACTTTGGACGGTGACGAGGGTAGGCGAAATCACTGTTTATTTTCGCCTATAGGCGTTGGGAAGATTTTTTCATATATATATATATATATATATATATATCTATAGATAGATAGATAGATAGATAAAGTTATGCTAGGGTACTCATGCACATGAGTATTTTTTTAATGTACTCAACATTTTTGGACACTTATACCTTTAACCTACCATGTAGTAACCTTTTTGTCAAGGGGTAATTTTGGTAATTAATCAGGGCTAAAGTAGAAAATTTTGATAGAAAGAGAAACCTTTATTAAATATAGTGGAGGATGACATTATCCACATGGAGTGTAATATCACCGACATGAAGCAATGATTGCTTCTTAACCACTTGTAAAATGCCACTAGTTTTTTATAGAAGTATCTATCCTACCTCTCCTAATGATGAAACATATCATTACTCAAAAAAATTCTATATTAGAAAACAAGGAGCAATGAGTATCCATAAATGTTGAGAGTATTCAACATTTTTTGACACTAATTACCCTTACTTTGTAGTACAATTTTTTTTTTGAGCATGAGTATTTTGTCATTAGTAGGGATAAGTTAGATATTTCTATAAGAATTTAGTGGCATTTAATGCTCCATGTGGGTGATATCACACCCCATGCGGATGATGTCATTCTCCGTTATAATTAATAAATACTATTTTTTTTATCATGAATTTCTATCTTTCCCCTGAATAATTAACTAAAATACCCCTCGACGAAAAGTTACTACTTTATAGGGTAAGGGTAGTAAATACTATTGTTTTTATCATGAATTTCTATTTTTCCCTTGAATAATGAACTAAAATACCCCTATACAAAAAGTTACTACTTTATAGGGTAAGGGTAGTAAATGTCCAAAAATATTGAGTACATGTAGTAAAGGAAAAAATTTATATAAGTGTGAGGCTCTAAACAATCAAATAAGGGTGCACCTCAAAAATTTCACTAGAAGAGGTTGTTTTGATGCCTAAATATTCTCAAATTGATCATCTTGACCTGAAGATGCATGGACATGAGGAAAAAATGGATTTTAAGATTTTGGAGATAGTGCATCTTGTAATGCATTTTTGGACCGCCAATTTTCAAGTTTCATAGATCTGCTCGATCTACACTATTTTTGAAGTTTTAAATTTTATAATTAGAGATGAAAATATATTTTAAGGCTATCACAAAGATTTCATGTATTGAAACAACATTCCTCGACACTATTTGAAGGTACACTTTACTTTGATTATTTAGAGCCTCAGCCTTATACAATCCATACCCTTTAGTGTATGTGTACCCTAACATTATATATATTATCATCATCGTACCCCAACATTATATATATCATCGTCATCGTCATCATCATGACCTTTTTCTAATTAATTGGGGTTGGCTATACAAAAATCCTGGTCTATCATTTTGCTCTATTAAAGATCATACCCTCAATAAGGCTATAAGTACCCATATCTTTCAGACTACTTTCAACACGTCTTTTTGGGCTTATCCTTTGCCCTTTTCACTCATTCCACCTGTACTAACTCGCGCCTCTTACATATCTCTCACCAAGTTGATGTAGTATCTGGAGACTCCGTTCTTTTCCAACATCCACCAAATCAAATCTCGAGGCACTCTACCATTCGCTTTCTCTAGATCAATAAAGACCATGTGGAGGTCTTTTCCCTTCTCCCTAAACGTCTCAATCAGTTACCTCAGTAGGAAAGTAGCTTCTGTTGTTGACCTTTCTGGTATAAAATCAAAATGGTTTTTAGATACACTTGTTTCATGCCTTAGTCGTTGCTCAATCACTCCTCCCTGAGTTTCATAGTATGGCTCATAAACTTGATCCCTCTATGGTTCGCACAATTCTATATGTCTCATTTGTTTTTGTAAATCGATACCACAATACTTTTTCTCCATTCATCTGACATTTTCTTTGTTCTCTACACCTTGTTGAACAACTTCATTAGTCAGTCAGTACCAATCTCCCCCATGCACTTTCAAACCTCTATTGGGATACCATCTGGTCCTAAAGCTTTTTATATCTTGATCCTTTTCAAAGCTTCTTTCACTTCTGACATCCTAATCCTACAACTGTATTTATGACCTCCGCCCTCATCTATACTAACAGTTTCTTCTACTGCTATGTTCCTATGTTTCCGCTTCGATATGCTCCTTCTTCAAGGAATTGAGCCTCCTAACGATATCGTGAAGGGAAGAATCCACTTGAAAGAAAGACCAATCTGAAAAGCATGGTGTATTCTCAATCGGCGAAGCTGCTCGAGGCTCTCGTTTACAAGCATATTCACAACTGAACCATCACACTTACAAGCTTTTTTTGCATTGTAGCTTTAGGAGCCAAAAAAGAAAATCAAATAGCTATTTGTTAGTTAGTAATTTTTGAAAATAAATTACCTTTCGTTTACCTCATCATCCTTCACCAGCACCCTTCGTTCCTCACTCTTAATGCATTTAATATGGCCCAATATTTTTTCTCATATTTTTGCTAATTTAAAGACATCTTTTTCATCTCTTGTTCCCAGTTTATTGTATAGATTATCGTATGCTTTAAGTTTAGCTTTATTTACTATTTGTTTAACATTATTATATTCAATTAAGTTTTGATCGTTTCTATTATACTGCCAAGTTTTATAGCATGATTGTTTTTCGCTAATGGCTTTCTGAACGTCATCATTCTACCACCAAGTTTCTTTATCGGAATTTCTTTTCCCCTTAGATTCTTTTAAAACTTCTTTTACCACTTTCTTGATACAGTGAGCTATTTTATTCCATATTACATTGACATCATGTTCAGAGTTCTATTTTCCATCTTCAACTAATTTATCCCTAAATATGTCTATTTTCTCATTTTTTAAATTCCACCACCTAGTTCTTGGACGCCCATTACTTTTACCCCTTCTCTTCCATGTCTTTATGCAGACATCCATAACCACGAGCCTATATTGGATAGTCAAATTCTCTTGTAGGATAAGCTTGCAGTTTTTACATAATGGACCCTAACATTATATATATGATTGACCTTAACATTATATATATAGGGTTATTTTAGGGTGCTCACACTATGAAGTAATTTATCATTGTACTCAACAAATTTTAGACATTTATATAGCCTTGTTTTATACATAGAGCGTTTTTTAGTAGGTATTTTTGGTCATTAGGACGGGTGTAACGTTGTCCACATGGTGTGTGACATCACCCACATGGAGCATTAAATGCCACTAGTGTCCTCCATGTGGGTGATTCACTCCATGTGGATGACGTCACACTCTTGCTAATGACAAAAAATACCCTTATTAAAAAAAATGCTTCATGTACAAAATAAGGGTGTAGAAGTGTCGAAATTTTTTTGAATATAATGATAAATTAATCCATAGTTTGAGCACCCTAAATAATTAATATATATAGGGATTGTTTTGGGCTGAAATTTTTCATATCATCTTTAATTTGAACAAATAATAATCTCAAAAAGGAAAAAGGTTTTAACTTCTTGAAGGATCCACAATGGCACAATTCACCAAATGGACGACCTATATTCGCCTAAAATTGCGAACTCCTTTTCCCCAAAATTTTTAATGCTATCATAAAATTGTTGTCTTATTTTTATTTTGATATATATATATGAATTTGTCTAACCCTTCAAACGATAAAGGTTAATGTTCAAATAGGTTCTGATGAGTGCATTTATAAAAGCATCATTACTTTTTGGTCTAAGTAAAATGGTATTTTCGAAGTTGGGAAAGGTTTCTTTACTTCCCCTACAACATAAAAGATCTATGCTTTCCCTGCTATCCAGCCGTCCAATTTTGATCAAGAGAGTCACTCACCGTTTGATCTTAGATCTGATGTCTCAAAGTATTTTATTTTTAGTTTTTCTTATACAAATTGTATGAATATGAAAGTTGGTACGTGCCATTTTCTCATTGAGGCGCACCTATAAAAAATATTAAAAATAATTTATTGATAAAATATAATGACCGAAATACCCCTTGAAACTTTCAGGGGCATTTTGGTCATTTTATTTTATTGGAAATAGTTTTTTGTGTATTTTTCGCTAGTGCAAGTTTAATAGAGGATTGGACGTCCAAAATTTGGTGTCAAAATAGTTTATAGAAAAAAAATTAAAAATAAGATAGTGTAGAGACGTGACATTGTGATTGGGGCAATCTTAGTCCTCCTTTCAGAATGGACAGTAAGGGGAAGTGTATAAGTTTTATGCTGTAGGGGAAGCATAGAAAGCTTGACCTTCGAAGTTAGTGTCTTAAAACTCTTTTTTTTGTAGAATACGCTCGTCTTTTAGTAAAAGTTTCAACTTTATCTTTTATGACGACGATAAAAGTACCCAATACTCAGTACCTATTGTCTTTTAGTGATATTTACGTAAGTGAAGATTTTCTACTCTTGCAGGAGTATACTATCCATTTACTCTTATAGGCAAAACTTAGGCATATCCTTTTTATCTCAAATTATGCGGATGTGATCTCTAGTATCTAGGAAACGATCTCAAAGTTAAAAAAAAAAAAAAATTTAAGTCTCAATTGCTATGTGCCTAAAGAAAAATATTATCCCAAGATTATATTGCAAGGATTCAATTTTTGAGGGAATGATCTAGATGTTTATGAACTCAAAATCTAGATTTTTTTCTTTGACACTAATCATCTAGTTATAGTTAGATGGATCCTGAAACTTAAGAAAAAGAAGAAAAGATATCTCCTAAGTTAGTGTCTTGCTTGTGGTAGTAAATGTATCAAGCATAGTATACGTGCACTCTGCATAAACACCGTTATTTGATATGCAAAATATATCACAAAAAGCAACTACTTTAAAAAAGAAACCACAGTTAAATTTACCTCATGGCTTCTCATTCTAAATTAATTTTTGTATTTTGAAGGATTGTGAATTGTAGATTATCGCTATATATATATATATATATATATATATATATAG